TTAGGAAATATTCGATTCGCGCCGAATCCAAAAATTAGCAAACTTCGGATGCACGAATCGAATTTTCCCAAAAATGGCGGCGACATGTGTGGCGACGGAGCGGGGATCTCTGGGAAGGCGCGCAGACAAGGCGCGCTGACCCATAATGCATTCATTCATGACATGTGATCGCATTAGCCAATCAGCAGCCAGCCAGCCAGCACTGTGTAATGGTGGAGCTATAAATCGCGGCCATCTTAGAATTCTCCATTAGCCTCCGGTCATTCAAGAGAGACAGACCTCTGTGTATTAGGGACAGAGTTAGGGCCACAGAGACTTTAGGGCCACAGAATCGTTACTTAGGGACACAGAATCGTTACTTAGGGACACAGAATCGTTACTCAGGGACACAGAATTGTTACTCAGGGACACAGAATCGTTACTCAGGGACAGACACAGAATTGTTACTCAGGGACACAGAATTGTTATTGAGGGACACAGAATCGTTACTCAGGGACACAGAATTGTTACTCAGGGACACAGAATCGTTACTCAGGGACACAGAATTGTTACTCAGGGACACAGAATTGTTACTCAGGGACAGACACAGAATTGTTACTCAGGGACACAGAATTGTTACTCAGGGACACAGAATTGTTACTGAGGGACACAGAATCGTTACTCAGGGACACAGAATTGTTACTCAGGGACACAGAATTGTTACTCAGGGACACAGAATTGTTACTCAGGGACAGACACAGAATTGTTACTGAGGGACACAGAAGGACACAGTTACTCAGGGACACAGAATTGTTACTGAGGGACACAGAATCGTTACTCAGGGACACAGAATTGTTACTCAGGGACACAGAATTGTTACTCAGGGACACAGAATCGTTACTGAGGGACACAGAATCGTTACTCAGGGACACAGAATCGTTACTCAGGGACACAGAATCGTTACAGAGGGACACAGAATCGTTACTCAGGGACACAGAATTACTCGTTACTCAGGGACACAGAATCGTTACTCAGGGACACAGAATCGTTACTGAGGGACACAGAATCGTTACTGAGGGACACAGAATTGTTACTCAGGGACACAGAATTGTTACTCAGGGACACAGAATTGTTACTGAGGGACACAGAATCGTTACTGAGGGACACAGAATCGTTACTGAGGGACACAGAATTGTTACTCAGGGACACAGAATTGTTACTCAGGGACACAGAATCGTTACTCAGGGACACAGAATTGTTACTCAGGGACACAGAATCGTTACTCAGGGACACAGAATCGTTGAATTAAAGAGTATGTCAGACAACACGCAGAGGAGTGGCAGAGGAGGCAATGTTTCAGGAGCGAGCAGACGGGCAGCAGAGGAAGGGGTCGAGGCAGCACTAGTCGCAGCCAGAGGCCAGTGCTCCCGGTGTCATCCAGCGGTCGTGTCTCCACCGACAACCCTGCCGTCATCGATTGGTTGGCTCGGTCGTCTTCCTCTTTCCAGGTCACCTCTGACACCTACAGCCAACGGTCGGTGGGTACGTCAGACACAACCGTTAGTTGGCATGGCCCGGGAGCAAGCCCACTGAAATCACGTGTCCTCTACCTGCCCCTGTCCTTTGGTGTTCCCTCACCAAGCGAAGTATCGCATGCTGTGGGCTCAGCCCCACTGTACAGTGAGGAAGAGCTAACAGAGGGCGGTCAGGAACGGGGGGAGACATCCGCCTCTTCAGCAGCCAGGCAAAGAAGTAGTGGCGAGGAGAGTGGCTCGGTAGCCGGTCTAGAGACAGGTCTGTCTCCTGACCCACACGCAGCCGAGGGGGCTAGTAGTGAGGCGGAGACCCTAATTGATGATGATGAGGCTGATCGCACTTGGCAGCCTCGTCGTCATCAGGCTATTGCTTCCGCATCATCAGGAGAAGAGGGTGGCAGCTTGGCAGCGAGCAAAACAGTCGGTGGGTTGCCCAGGAGGCAGCAGGGTCGCAGCAGTGTCAGTGGAGGCAAACGGCCATGGAGTAGAGCACCAGCTCCACTGCAGCCTACCACCACGGCCAGTAGTGGTGCCGGTGTGCATGGAGGAAGTAGCAGTCAGCCAGTGAGGAGTAGCGGGGGCAAAGTTTCCTACTCGGCGGTGTGGCAATTTTTCGTCAAGCCGCCCGAGGAAGTAAACGTAGCCGTATGTCGACTATGTGGCCAGAAAGTCAAGCGTGGCCAGGGGGCCCATGTTGGGACTACAGCGTTGCGTCAGCATAAGCAGCGTCGCCATTTGGTGGCCTGGGAAAACCGTGATAAAGATACGGCGGTTCTGCCTGCCCCAGCCCCCGCTCCATCACCCGCTCCATTACTTGCTCCGTCACCCGACGTCAATCGCCCTCTATCAGCCAGTCAAGGCTCCAACACCTCTGCTGAGGGGAGTTGTCGCTCGTTGGCATCTTCCGCTCGTTCAGATGCTCCTTCTCCTGCTACTCCTCTTCACGGATTCCGTCAGCAGTCTTTCTTGGAATCCGTTTCCAAGAGACAACAGTTTGCGAGCACGCACCCGACGGTGCAGAAGCTGAACGTCCTCCTGTCCAAGTTGCTGGTGCTGCAGTCCTTCCCTTTCCAAGTGGTGGACTCAGCACCTTTCAGAGAAATGATGGCTTGTGCCGCGCCGCGGTGGAGAGTGCCAAGCCGGCATTTCTTCGCCAAAAAGGCAGTGCCAGCCCTGCATTCACATGTAGAAGAGATGGTGGGCCAGTCTTTGAGCATGTCGGTCTCTGCCAAAGTGCACGGCAGCGCCGACGTGTGGAGCTGTAACTACGGTCAGGGACAGTACATGTCATTTACGGCCCACTGGGTGAACGTGGTGCCGGCACAGCCGCACCAGCAACTTGGACAGGTCACGCCGCTTTTGCCTCCACGTTTGCACGTCCTTGGTCCAGCAAAGATGTCCGCCTCTACCACCTCTTCTTCCGCCGTGTCCTCAGCCGCCACCCCCGTGCCAAGTCCCATTACCCGACCGGCATATCACATGTGCAGGGCGCAACGGTGTCACGCTGTGCTGCACCTGGTATGCCTTGGCGAACGTAGTCACACAGGGGAGGAACTTCTGAGTGTAATGAACAGAGAAATCGACAGATGGCTGTCTCCGCGCAAACTGAAAATCGGAACCATGTTGACCGACAAAGGAAAGAACATGGTGTCTGCTCTGCGTCAAGGAAGGTTGTGCCATGCGCCATGCATGGCTCACGTGTTCAATCTGGTTGTCAAGCGGTTCCTAAAATCCACCATCCCACTGCAAGACATCCTTAAAATGTCACGTAAACTTTGCATGCATTTCAGCCATTCCTACACCGCAAAGCACACCCTCCTTGAGCTGCAGCGGCAGAACGGAATTCCACAGCATCGCCTGATCTGCGACGTTGCAACAAGGTGGAATTCAACCCTACATATGTTAGACCGCCTTTACGAACAGCGAAAGGCCATCACCGATTTCCTGATGTTACAAGCGGATAAAGGTACTCCCCTGTGTAACTTAGATGTCAGCCATTGGCAGCTCATGCGTGACACCTGCCGCTTGCTCAGGCCCTTTGAGGAGGCCACGCTATTCGTGAGTCGGCAGGACTATGGGATGAACGACGTCATTCCTCTGTTGCACGTCCTGGAACAAATGCTGTTAACAATGGCTGGTCAGGGTGCGGTAGACGTGGCGCACAGATCTCAACGCCACATGACCCCTGTGGGGGCAGGACAGGAAGAAGAGGAGGAGGTAGAGGAGGACATTGGTGCTCAGGAATTATTGAGTGAAATGGGTGGTTTTTTTTCCACTCAGCGGACAGGAGTGGAGGAGCAGGAGCATCTGGTAGAGGAGGAGGAGGAGACAGAGGACCCAGACGCACCATGGCAGTATGCTGTGGAGATGGAGGCAGGGAGTCCCTCGCATTCCTTGGCACAAATGGCCCATAGCATGCTCGGTTGCTTGCGTAGCGACAGCCGAATAATAACCATCAGACAGAGGGATGACTTTTGGCTGTCCACCTTGTTGGACCCTCGCTACCGTTCAAAAATGGTGGCCTTTTTCACACCTGCTGAGAGGGAGGCCAAAATAACGTACTATAAAAGCCACCTATGTAGTCAGTTGGTCTCTGCCTTTCTGTGCCAATGTCCATCCTCAGACACTGTGGGCCCTGTGCGCTCGCGTTCCGCTGCCATGGCAGCAGGGGAGGGGTGGGGTGGTAGGAGCAGTGGCAGCTCCACCAGCAGCGGCTGCCTCAGTCTGCAGTCGATGATGAGTAGCTTTCTTCACCAGCGCAGTGAGTGAGGAAACTACTAACCAGCCGCAGCAGCAGCAGCAGCAGCATCAGGTGGACCTGGAGCAGGACCTCAAACAACAGGCTTGGGCCTACTTGGACAGCACCCTGCCAACCGAGGTAGACAATCCCCTTGACTACTGGGCAACGAAACTTGACCTTTGGCCCCAACTAGCTGAATTTGCCCTTGAAAGGCTGTCATGCCCGGCCAGTAGCGTGGCATCGGAGCGCGTGTTTAGTGCGGCAGGAGGTATTGTAACTCCGCGGAGACACGACTGTCCACCCAAAGTGTGGAGAGACTCACGTTTGTGAAAATGAATCAGGCGTGGATTAGTCTGGATTTCAAACCACCAGTTCCTGACACAACTGACTAAATCCGCCATGAATCATGCCCCAAACATGTTATTATTTTTAACATAGGCCTCTTTATGGCCTTCAATTTAAGCTGCTTACGCTTCACCACTCTGCCATGGGCCCCTGTACCGCCTCCTCTTGCTGCTGCCAGGTCCAGAGTGTGTCATGGGTCCCTGTACGGCCTCCCATTGCTGCTGTCTCCATCGCCACACTCTGCCATGTGCCACTTTCAGGTCTCCTCACACTGCTGGTGGGTTCCATTTTGTCATAGGGTGCTGGCAGATTACGGGCCTCCCATTGCTGCTGCCAGGCCCGTAATCTGCCATGGGCCCCCGTACCGACTCCTCATGCTGCTGCCAGGCCCGTAATCTGTCATGGGCCCCTGTACCGCCTCCTCATGCTGCTGCCAGGTCCAGAGTGTGTCATGGGTCCCTGTACGGCCTCCCATTGCTGCTGTCTCCATCGCCACACTCTGCCATGTGCCACTTTCAGGTCTCCTCACACTGCTGGTGGGTTCCATTTTGTCATAGGGTGCTGTATGGCCTCCCATTGCTGCTTCCAGGCCCGTAATCTGCCATGGGCCCCCGTACCGACTCCTCATGCTGCTGCCAGGCCCGTAATCTGTCATGGGCCCCTGTACCGCCTCCTCATGCTGCTGCCAGGTCCAGAGTGTGTCATGGGTCCCTGTACGGCCTCCCATTGCTGCTGTCTCCATCTCCACACTCTGCCATGTGCCACTTTCAGGTCTCCTCACACTGCTAATGGGTTCCATTTTTTCATAGGGTGCTGTATGGCCTCCCATTGCTGCTGCCTCCACCGCCACACTGTGGCTCCACACTCTGGTTTTGGCCCCGTGACTGCCCAAATGAGTGAAGTGTGCGGTGATTCTAAGATCGACGGCACTCATCTGCATGTCATACTGACTGACAGTATTATTTCTCTTCCCCAGCAGACTCCAAGGGCATTTAAATTAAAGGTACAGTGTTCTGCACTAATATAAAGGCTCTCTGAAGCCTAGAAACACCCTTTTTATAAGTTAAATTCGCAGCGAATATATTCGACTCGAATCAAATTTATTCCACGAATTTGCCGAATCAGCCGAATCGAATTTTTGAATAATTCGCTCATCTCTAGTTGCCACCTGTGCAAAAAGTCCATCTGTGAAATTTCCTTGCTACTAAATATTCCACACTCAACTGTTAGTGGTATTGGAGGCAACTGGGAACAACAGCAATTTGAATCCACAAAGTGGTAGACCTCAACAAACAAAGTGGGGTCAATGCATGGTGAAGTGCACAGTTCGCAGAAGTCACCAACTGTCTGTAGAGTCAGTGGCTAAAGACCTCCAAACTCCATGTGACCTTCAGATTAGCAGAACAACAGTGTGTAGAGAGCTTCATGGAATGGGTTTCCATGGCCGAGCAGCTGCATCCAAGCCTTACATCACCTAGTGCAATGCAAAGTGCTGGATTCAGTGGTTTTAAAGCACACCGCCACTGGACTCTAGAGCAGTGGAGACGTGTTCTTTGGAGTAACCAATCATGCTCCTCTGTCTGGCAATCCAATGGATGTGTCTGGGTTTGGCAGTTGCCAGGAGAATGGTACTTGCCTGGCTGCATTGTGCCAAGTGTAAAGTATGGTGTGGGGTTTCTTTTCAGGGGTTGGGCTTGGGCGTTTAGCTCCAGTGAAGGGAACACTTAAGGCATCAACATAACAAGACACTTTGGACAATTTCACAATCCCAGCTTTGTGGGAACAGTTTGGGGATTGCCCCTTCCTGTTCCAACATGCCTGCGCACCAGTGCACAAACCAAGGTCCATAAAGACATGGATGAGCAAGTTTGTGGTGGAGGAACTTGACTGGCCTGCACAAAGTCTTGACATTAACCCGAAAGAACACCTTTGGGATGAATTAGAGCAGAGACTGTGAGCCAGGCCTTCTCGTCAGACATCAGTACCTGACCTGAAAAATACACTTCTGGAAGAATGGTCAAACATTCCCATAGACACACTCCTAAACCTTGTGGACATCCTTCCCAGAAGAGTTGAAGCTGTAATAGCTGCAAAGGGCGGGCCAACTCAATATTGAATTCTACAGACCAAGACTGGGATGCCATTAAAGTTTATGTGCGTGTAAATGCAAGCGTCCCAATACTTTTGGCCTCATAGTTCTGCAGTTCCTTTGCCATTGCCCAATGCTTGCCTGTTTTTAGGACTCTTAAAGAAAATTGAATGCATAGGCTCTATCTTTCTCCTGCCAAACAGCTGGCACAGTTATTGATTGGCTTTTGTAAGTTTGTAGGTTTCCTCAACCCTCCCAAAGCAAATGGGAGGGTTGAGGACAGACCTGGGAACTTTGGAAAAATTGCAGAGAATTCTAAAGAAAAGGCTCTTGAGCATATGGTGCCCAGAGAGCTGTCACATAGAATTTCCAAAAGTTGGATATGCCTGAACAGATAACACATTATATATATATATATATATATATATATGTAACAGGTTTTTTTTTCAGGAAATTTCATTTTACATTGGTATACCAGCTAATATGCACATACAAAGACCTCTATGCATTCTAAATTATCCTTCACAGCTAAATCACTGAATATTTAACAGGGCCAGCTCTATATCAGTGTATGCCTCCATGGGGAAATGTTACAAATTCATTGGGAGCCTCTTGGGAGGGGCAAAAAGGAAAGGTTAAATGTAATTTCTAGGAATATCTTTCTACAAAATTATGTTACATTGTTGTATTTGTATTCCAGCACTACATGTTTTAAATCTTAAGGTTGTTCTTGCATGAAATGCAATGGCCTACTTATTAGTCCTCCACCAAAAAAAAAATGAAAGCGCATCTATGGTCAAAATGTAAAATCATATATTCATTTCCACATTCTATTTCAATTTTTTTCTAGCCTACTCCTATTAATCTGAATGAAGTTTGTAAACTTACACACATTTACTTCCTTGAATTTTGTGACACGTAGTCACTATGTCCTGTGAGTAGGCACTGCTGTGTCACACATTTCAGAGAGCCTGCCTTTTGAACTACAGAGGAGCTGAGAGGAGGAGTTTCAGGAGGCAGAGTCAGTACAGGGATTCACTGCTTGCAGGCAGCAGGGTACCATGGGCTATGTAGTCCTTAGAAATGGAAACAGAAACTGAGAAGCATGCAGGAAATCCAGGAAGTTGTGGAAAGAGATGGCCCACAGAAAGGCAGAGCTCACAACACAAAAGGACATTTTTCAAGTAATCTTATATTGGATTATCAAATATAACAACTACTTGTATTGCTATTACAATGCTGATGTTGTTATAAAATAAACATAAAATTGAAGAAACAAGTAAAAATATTTACCTTAACCACTTGACCTCAACTTCAAATTGAACATTGACAATTCATGTGTTCGCTGACACACAAACTATATGGGCGTTTGGCAGGCTGTTTACCCGGCGCGCCCAACAAGGCACTGTACCCTGACAGTGCATTGTGATTGGTCAAAGCAATGCACCTGACCACAGGTCAGGTGCAATGCTTTGGCCAATCACAGCACAGGATGACAGCGCAACAGTATTTAAAGTGCTGGTATAAATAGCTTTGGACTAATAACAAGTGGTTTTGGCGGGATTCTGACATCAAATAACGTCAGTAGGTAGGGGGAGTCACTTTTTTCAAGTCTCTGGCGGAGAGCACTTAAAATACTGTTGCACTGATGTACACATTTATCACATGCCTGACGAAGGGGTCCTGTGTGGCTCCGAAACAATGCACTTTGCACATGTCTTCTGTGATGTAATCATTCGTCAGTAAATATTTGGATGTTCTTGATGATCCCTCGTGTGCCGCTGAATATATGCATTTGATCTGCATAGAAACCAATCAGCTTCCAGGTTTCATTGCCAAAGCTTCATTGAACAAGCTGAGGTTAGAAGCTGATTTGTTTCTATGCAGAAGGGAGTCTGATTTTGGACTCTCCAGCTTTAGTAAATAAACCCCTTAGTGTTCTGGACTAGACAAGTGCCCACTATAGTGGGATGTGTTTTTTTCATATTTCATGTCAGAGGTTTACAACCACTTTTTAGTAGACCTATGACCATCAATGGTCACAACTCAACAAAAGCTGGCTTGATAGTGATGCCTTGTTTGTAGCCAGTTAATCCCTCACACACATATATACACCGTGGGTTGACTCTTCTCTTGGTGTCAGGAAAACTTGTCAGAAGTGGCTCATGCAGATAGCCGAGGAATGAAGCAGCAGACAGAAATGACATTTAGTGCTCTGGACTAGACAAGTGCACACTATAGAGGGATGTGTTTTTTTTTTTTCATATTTCCTGTCAGCGATTTACAACCACTTTTAGTAGACCTATGACCATTAATGGTCAGAAATCAACAAAAGGTGGCTTGATAGTGAGGAACGAAGCTGAGATAGCAGATAGCTGAGGAACGAAGCAGTAGACAGGAATGACATTTAATGCTCTGGACTAGACAAGTGCACACTATAGTGGGATGTGGTTTATTTCATATCTTCATGTCAGCGGTTTACAACACTTTTAGTAGACCTATGACCATCAATGGTCACAACTCAACAAAAGCTGGCTTGATAGTGATGCCTTGTTTGTAGCCAGTTAATCCCTCACACACATATATACACCGTGGGTTGACCAGAGCCACTAAGGCTTTTACATGCAGGTCCTCACAGCTCAATGGTTGTCTGACAGATTATTCCATGCCACGTCTTCTTCCTCCTTTTAAACTGCAGCCACAAATCCACCGTGGCATTGCTTCATGCTGCACTGACTACCATGCAATATTTCATCGGTAAAGCTCTTAAGAGATGTTCCCATTAAATGTGGACCCCTAGCTGTGATCCTGCTGGGATCCAGTGATACCATGCCATACTTATGATCCAGGGGATGGTTTATACTTTACAGATAACCAGCTAGCAGTGAACTGCATGATAAGTAGTATCCTTTCATGTATTAACCACATACAGCTTTTAGAATACCATATTTTTAGCCATAGTGGTCCTTTAAAGAATCTAGTTCATAAAATATGTTCTAACAAACTCTGTGGTGGTGTCAAGAAAGAGTATGAAGTTTAAAGTTTAATTATTATATTTAAACGATTCGGCATGCTTTTATGTCCCATGGGCGCAAGCAGCTAGCTTGGCCTTTTTCGGCATAAAACAGAATATGTAATGAATGCATTGCAAAGTGCAGGTTTCCAGTACGATATGCAGCAGGTTTTAAATGGGCAAAATTGAGGTTTTTGAAAAGATGTCAAATATATACAATACATTTCCACATTAAGGTAGTACAGAACACTGTATTACCGTATGGAGAGAGCTATATAATGCTTTATGTGATATCATTACAACATTTTGGAGGTGTCTTTCTTAAAGCCCACTCCAAGAAAATATGAATAAACTCTTACTCTCCTCTAACGGGGTTTTTTTTTTCTCAGAGATGGGTGCAGGTACTCTACGTTTCCAAGTTACCCTTTGTCTCTGTCCCCTACCCACCGCTGAGCATGATTCTCTTCAGCCAGGAGCAATAGTACACTCCAGCAGTGATAGATCCCCCAGCAACAATAGACCCACCAGCATGACCCCCCCCCAACAACAATAGACCCACCACAGCATTAAAAGACCCCAATGTAACAATACAGTAGATCTCCCAGCTGCCAGAACCAATATACCCCACAGCAGCCAGCAACAATAGACCCCTTCTTCAACAGTAGATCCCTCACAGCAACAATTGGCCCCCTAGCAACATAAGATCCCTCCAGCAAATATATATACCTCACCAGCAGCAATAGGCCTCCCAGTGACAATCGTTCCCCCAGCAGCCGGCATCAACAGACCCTTCAGCACACCCCAGCACCCCATTCAGTGCTGAAGGTGCCGGAACTGTGTTCTCCCATGTTTCTGCTGATAAAAAGGCCTGCCCTCTAACCAGGGGCGGACTGACAACTCATGGGGCCTCCGGGCAATAGGGGAT